AATTATCTTTAAAGAACGAAAGTATCTCTTGACTTAATTCCTCTATTTATATCTAAATAAAAAACATTAAGAAGTTACCTTCTTTTAATGAGGTTTCGACTAGATATAAGGATGTTATCTATAATAGGTTAATGATCATATGATTCTAGAAAAATAATAGCCATATATATATAGTATTTCATAAAGCTAAACTATATAGAAGTAAGGTACAATGAATACGAAGCATATTTCACTACCATACATGACCGTTAAAAGCATCTCTACCTATATGAGCTAAAAAGCTTACGATTCAGTTATCAAAAAATTCTTAAATTCCTTTTGCTATATATATATGTATATACGTTAACTGAATGGATCACTTTTAGCGGATATATTGTTACTAGTTTCTGTGTATACCTACAGTAACGTTTATTGAACTGCAGCCATATCATTACTCACCGGACACCATCATCTAACAGGTCAAAAATTATAGTATTAATTGATTATTACTTTCTAATATCAGACTAAAACAATTTCTAAAAGTTATATATACACCTATTTAATAGATTCTAAAAACTACCAATATAAAGATATAACACAATTAATATCACGTATGAACAACATTTAGTTCCAGTAAATCGATTTTAGCTATACCAACTATCATTGTGTGAATGACAGAGACTATTTATTATGAATAATTTCGAACCTCGAAAAGGTAAATTTGTAGATCATCTTCCGATTAGACATTAAATTTTTATCAATAGGAAAGAATCAATCATGAAGTGGACCTTTAACACCTCTTATTATATTGTCAAGAAACATCGTATATCAGATAATAGTAATAATGACATATAGTTCCACTACTAATTTCTCAATGTTGGCGATCTACGACAACATCGTAACAAGATCTTTCGACAGAATTCTGAAATCTTAATCACTACTCTCGAAGTCGACAAAATCAATAGTTTATATCAGAGATACGTTAATGACAGTGGTGGTAACAAAAATGCCTTCCATTGATTTATCTTCATCAAAGAAGACCCACATACACTTCTGTAAGGTATGGAGAGTGGACAGGAGGAATACGGATAAATATTTGCGAATATTAGAGAATATATATATCATCCATATTATCTATGTGCATTTAGTAATTTGTAAGAGTCGAAAAGTATCGAGTAACAAAGGAAATGATCTATAATACACAACTACTTTAATTAATTTGGGGATAAACAAATCATCTATAATTCCCCATATTTCATCTCACTGATAGATTAATATATTATCTGTTTAGAGATAGATTAAAATGCTTCTTAATTTGAATTAGTATTAATTTCAGCGGAAGAGGCAATTTCTGACTTGACCTCTTCTTTTTCAACTCTTGTAGTTGTGCTACTTGACTCCTTATTCTCGTTTAAACTATTTTCTTTGATATCGGAAACTGGTTCAACTTCTTGGGCTTCTAATTTAGAGTTTTGCTCTTTGATAGAATTATCGGTCTTCGAAGCATCTTCTTCCTCTTTCTTAGCCTTTTCTGCTTGTAGTTTAACCCTTTCTTCTTCTTCTGTTTTGGCTTTTTCTGCTTCTAGTTTAGCCCTTTCTTCCTGTTCTTTCTTGATCTTTTCTGCTTCTAATTTAGCTTTCTCTTCTTCCAATTTCAACTTTTCAATTTTCAATCTCTCTTCTTCTTCCCTTTTAAGCTTCTCAGCCTCTAATTTTTCTTCTTCTACTTTCTTAAGTCTTTCAGCTTCTAATTTTTCAGCTTGAATCTTTTTTTCTACCTCAATTCTAGCAAGCTCTTCTTCTTCTTCTTGCTTTAATTTATCAATTCTGATTCTTTCCTCTTCTTCTTGCTTTAATTTATCAAGTCTGATTCTTTCCTCTTCTTCTTGCTTTAATTTTTCCGCTTCCATTCTTTCTTCTTCTTCTTTTCTAGCCTTTTCAGCATCTAACCTTGCCTTTTCAGCCTCTAACCTTTCCTTTTCTTCTTCTAACCTTATCTTTTCATTTATAATTCTTTCTTCCTCTTCTTTTTTGGCTTGAGCAGCTTTCTCCTTCTCTTTCAATTCCATTAAAACTTTAGCTTTTTGTCTTTCTAGTTCTTCTTCCTCTTCTTTTTGTAATCTAAGCTGTTCCTTTTCTAAATCAACCGCTTCTGATTCAATTTCTTCTGTTATTTCTAAGCTAGAGTTAGTAGATGAAGAAATAGATTCAACAGGTGTACTTTCAGTAGTTGAAATACCAGTACTCTCGACATTTTCTTGAACCTCAGAAGAGGTTGATGGTTCTTCCGGTAAATCAGTCTTGTCTTCAATAGTCTTCTCAACTTCAGTTTCCTCTTGAACTTCTTTTTTGATAAGAGTTTCATTCAATCCCTTTAGAACTTCAGATTCAGAGCTTGACTTCATATCTTCAATGATTTCAGTGTAAGACATGTATTCGTCCCTATCGAATTCATCAAAAGCACCAGTATATTCTGAAGTATCTTCTTCTTCTTCTTCTACCTCAGAAGGAGTGGAAACGGATGAGGTGACCATAGATGAAGAGGTAGATGGAGAAGTAGAAATTGATACTTTCTCTTCAGAAATGGAAGTAGGAATGGAACTAGAACTGGAACTGGAACTGGAACTGGAACTGGAACTGGAACTGGAACTGGAACTGGAACTGGAACTGGAGCTGGAAGAGACAACAGAGGATGTAGTGGATGAACTCTTCAATTCTCTGCCAATTAGGGTAGTTTGTTTCAAAAGGTCATTTAATACAAAGTAAGCAGAACTGTCATACTTGTCAATGTATTTTTCCTTGGTGTATAAGTAAATTTTGTTGTGAAGATCATTTTGATAGGCAATTTGCGAAGCATACGCCAATACAACAATAAGAACAAAATTCCTAAACAAGACCCATAATTTACGCCAAATTGAAGTAGAGTTAGCAAAATTTGCAGGGATGTCAATTACATGGATTGTGTTAGCGGCAGAAATACTTGCGACATATTTTGAATCAGGAGAAAAAGTAATTTTAGTGATAGCAAAATTATGAACTTGCTTAAATGTTTTCCCCATGGACAAATCTTTCAATTTAACAATCGCAATTGAGTTGTCACTAGTAGCAATAGCAGCTAAATCACCTAATAGGTCAACATCCATTGAGGTAATACTCTTAAAATTTTTAGTGACCAGTTTACTTTTCAAAATAGTGATATTACCACTTTTCAAGCTTATCTTTGACATCATGATACCGTTTCCCTTTTTCAAAGAAGCTGCCAACAAGACAGTATCGTCATTTAAGAATCTAATTTTTGATAAGATCCAATTTTTATCGAAATCAGTTTTCCTAATAATGAACCTCCCGGTGACAATTGAGATTACTTCTAAAGTCGAAGGAGTAATATAACTAATGACTTTACCATCAGGAGAAAAATGCATATCTTTCACATCATGTCCAGTTTCAATTTCATATTTTTCAGACATATCTCTTGGATCGATGATTCTAATAACAGTTGGTATAGCCGAAGAAGCTATAGCACCAACCGATGCATCTTTGCTCAAGTAGATCAACTTGGTGTAATCCTCAGCATTTTTAGAATTGTCAAGATCAATCCCAGATATAAATTTCAAATGCTCATTTTCATAGACAAACTTCCTAATATGATGATTACCTTCACCATTTTTAATCTTTTCACTATTCTCATTACAACCAACCAAAATCAAATCATTAGTAGCATCCAAAGTAGTCGGAGAATCATCGTTTGGATCCAGAGTTATCTCACGAAATCTCTTCAACACTTTCTTCTTATTGAAATCAATCCTAACAGCAGTGATTTTATTAGGAATACCATTATTGCCCTCACCACCACCACCAGCAACTAACAAAATCCGTCCATTCAAAAACTTGGCACCATACAAAGGATACCCAACATTATATATAGAAGTTTGAAATTTCATCACAAATCCCTAGTCTTATAAACTGAAAACCAACTGGGCTTAAAACTAAAAAAGGTTCCTTGATATTGTATTTAGTACACGTATAAAACTGAAATAGCTTGCTTTGCCTTCAAAAAATTTAAATCAATTCAGGAAAACCCCCCACAAAATAAAAGGGAACAAACTAATTAACAACAATTAAATAAATTGAACCAGTACAGTACCTCTCAATCAATCGATATTATACTTCTTTACCAACTTATCTTGTCCTTATCACAACCAGAATTTTTCACTTTCTATTCTAAATTATATCTTATATTTATATATTAATTTTTTTTTTCACCTCCCAGTGAAAAAAGTGTAGTGCCCCCAGTAACCAGCTGAAATTGGTGATGTTGTTATGTCAGTAATAAGAAGATGGTCATGAACAGAGCTGTAAGCTATATAAAGGTATACAAATGCATTTTGAGAACGTATCGTAGATCAGGTGGGATGTGGTTTGTAAGGATTGTTTTTTGTTTTACTTTCTTCCTTTTATTTTTGTAGGGTTTAGAATGATTAGTTTAAGATTTCATCGAGAAACTTTTGAACTTTATCTTTATCAAGATATTTGCCAATGAAAACTAGTTTACATTGGGTGTTATTTGAAACGTCAGTTCCTGGTAGTACGTCGTATGTGTCTCTTACTCCTTGAATTACTTTTACTTTTAGATTTGGACTTGAATTTGGACTTTGGGTGTCTTCGATTATGATGAGACCCTTTGTTCTTTGGATTTCCCAATCTTTGGTATCGTTAAAATGTGTAATCCTATCTGATTCCGTGTATACTACTCCAAAATCTCTCCATAGCAATACTTGTAGGAATTGTTTTAAGAATTTTTGGAATTCAAGTTCACTTTTCAATGGCCTGAATGTCAGCGTTACTGTGTTCATTCTTGGATCGTGCAATGTTGGTCTTGCAATGTTAATCTGTGATTCTACATCGATATTGTCGTACGCATGTAGGTCTAACAATGTGTCTATTGGTGTATCTCCATATTTTGTGTTATACATAGGTGCCATTGAATTTATTTGTCTGACTCTATCTTCAATTTTTGTAATGAAGTTTGGATCATTTTCAATTTTGTCAAACTTATTTAGTAGAATTCGATCAGCCATTGCTATTTGGAAATGTGCTACTGTTAAATTATTCTCCATTATCACTTTTTCACCGTGCCAGTGAGTCTCTGGTGAAATGTCATCCAAACACTTTAATACATTTTCGCTATCCAACACAGTGATAATACCATCGATATAAATACAACTGTTCAAACCTTCGTCTTGCCAAAACATCTTGGCAATTGGTGCAGGGTCAGCTATACCTGATGTCTCTAAGAGTATATAATCAATTTTCCCAGGTGATCTAGTCACCATATCTTCGATGGCTTTTACACCAATATTTTTCAAGGAACAACAAAGACAACCATTACCTAAATCTAACCATTCTTCATAAGATGCAGAACCATTTCTAATAGTCATAGCTTTTTCAATCTCACTCGAATCGCCAAATTCATTCAATATAACTGCAATCTTTTTATCAGAACCTTTCATTGCAATCATCTCTAATAAAGTCGATTTCCCTGAACCTAAATAGCCTGTAATAATTGATATTGGAATTTTTGAAGTACTTGTCTTCGAGGAAGCATTATTGATAATGATTCCTGATTCTTCAACTTGTTTGTTGGCTCTTGATAATTTATTCTCACTGATGATATTAATACCACCATCACTTTTAGTATTATTTAAAATTTCAACAATATTTGATTCAGTGCCAGTAACTAGAGATGGAAGTTCACCATCTTCATCTTCCTTATAACTTAAATCTTTCAAAGCTGACATAGGTGCAGAAGTATGTATCCAGTTTCCAATAAAACCCCAAGTCGTTCCCTTGTATTGGTATTGCTTCTTTAACTTTAAAAATGGTACTATTAATAAGTGATAAATAATTTTTCAAAATGTACCTGAGATGATATATTTCTTATATATGAAGATTAGGGAGAAGGCTCAGGATAAGGTTGATTATTATTACTATTTACAAATGAATGAACTATTTATATATGTATTTATAAATATGAGTTTATGTGTATGTATGAATGTTTGATTATATTTTAAAATTTTTTCGAAAGAATATTTTTAACAATATCTACAACATCTGCGTATATGATTAATTTATTTGATTGTTGCTTGATAACCCACTTATCTTTTGGAATATTTGGTAACTGCTCTTGTAATTCTAATTTAAATTGATTGATATTGCCATTTATTTTTCTAATTTCTGTAATTATCTTCGATCCTCCATTAATCTTTTCAGAATATACAGGTAAATTCCCATTAATCGATCTTTTAACGGAATAATGTCTGAAATTTTTATTAGAATTGCTTACCAAATCATTGATTGAAATATCTTTGGTAGTTGGAAATATAGGTTCTTTATTACTAACAAATTCATTCTCAAAGAAATTCAACCTTTCAATAAAGCTTGCCTTCATTTCAATCTGAGGGTCGATTGTAGTGTTGTCGACATTATTTTGCAAAGACGATTGGAATCTTGTAAATGCAATACGATTGCGTGGCACTATCTTAATAGCAGCTGATCCACTCTTTATCATGATATATGTAGGTTGCTGGTGGTCTCTGGATACTCGATTGTAGGTTTGATCTGGGTGGATTTAGTATGGGCTTTTAAATATATTTTGGTTTTGGTATTCAAAATGGTAAAAATTTTGAGTTAAGATGTATTACCCGGTGTAGTCACGTGTATGGCATGTGATTGGCTATTATTACACAAGATTGATAACATTAACAGATGACGCAATACACACATACATGTATATACGCTTTGATGTGCATCTTCATACACAAGCATGGTCACTATCATATTATAAGGATTATAATTATACACTCTTAAATTAGTGAATTATACATTGTTTGTGATCTAAATAGTGCTACCATCATTGTGTTGGCTAACATTAGCTAGTTAAGATATATGTCAATACTACCTTCACTATAAAAACAGATACAATAGTCCGTGTTGGTTGACTGAAAAATACTCAACATGTATCTTGGGCGTTTAACTTATGTTTGTCTAGTTGCTAAATGTCTTTTACGAATGAACACATTTTATGTCCTTTGTACATTATAATCTCATGACCCATAAGTATGTGTACTAAGGAGGAGGGAGTCTCCAAAGTCATACGTTCAGAGTCTACCGACGCTCATTCCGCTTCCATAGAGCATTATCTATTCTTTTTCAACACCTCCACACACACGCATTTTATCTACATATACAGCTGGACTATATCGTGAATATCTATCTAGGAATAATACAACTCCAGATGTGTGCCATTGTGTATTTCATAATCTTCGAGTGTAATGTGATCCTTCAACACAGAATTACCCTTTTGCAATACCAATTTCTTATACGATGACCCACCCATCTGTAATGAAACCATTTTCTTAAAATCTTCTACCGTATCTTCTTCCAAGCACTTGACTACAATCTTCTTACCCAATCTATCACTTACAATAACTTCTATCATACTTTGAGAAGTGCTTTGTGCTTTTCCCTTCACCCTTCAGCAGGTTCTGATATGATCTGCTCTGATTCGATCTCAATCATAATGTTTCATATCCTTTATACAGATATATATATATATATATCTGTATGTATGCATAACAACGATCCACTTCTCAGTTGAACATAGGCTCAAGAACATTACATCACATGATATTCACATGTTATATCATATTTAACGAACCCCCTTCAACACCCCCCTGCCTCCCCGCCCCTTCAAAATCTTCGAACTATTTGAAAAATCATCAACCTCAGCCAAACTCAACATATTTAATCTTCAACCCAAAGGTGAAAATATAAAGTGATATTCAATTCACCATCGAAGCTTCCAATCGGTTATATTACTTCCAGGTTTGTTGCTTTTCAAGGTTGCTATTTTGTAGAGTTCTGTTATATCCAAATCAATTCCCAATTGCTAGAGAATTATAAGTTTTGTCAACCACAACCAGCTACTTAATTGAAAGATAATAAGTATACTATACTACATCTGAAGATTTATATTTGCTTTAGAAACCATTAGTCTGATTCTCATATCTTTGTTGTCCAATTCGTTATATTTCACTGATTGCCTCAACTGCTATTACAATTTGTTTAGATATACACTTTCGCTGTAGAAAAATATTTTTTTTTATTTGTCCTTCTTATTTAATTTACACTTACATTGGCTTTGCTCCCTATTAATACCTAATTATGACTACTACTGTGCCTAAGATCTATGCCTTCCATGAGTTCTCTCAAGTGGCAGATGCTGTTGCTGACTACGTGGTATACGCCCAAAACCATGCCCTATTGAAAAATGTAAAGAATGATAGAAAACATTCTAATATCTCGTTACACAGTGTCAACAATGATGACGATAGCAATAACTCAAGTAGTACTGTTCCTGCAGGTAATTTGAATTTTGCTAAATCGGAATCATCTCAATTGTTGAACAAGGAAAATAATAATTCGGCTGTAAAATCAACTAAAAGCTTATCCTCAGTTTCAGGAAGTTCGAAATTTAGCAAAGCTAAAAAGGATCCAAGATTTAAAATCGCTCTTTCTGGTGGTTCTCTGATTCAAGTTTTACATGAAGGTCTGTTGAAGAGAGATGATGTACAATGGGGTAAGTGGGATATTTATTTTGCAGATGAAAGATTGGTTCCTTTCGAATCAGAACACAGTAATTATGGTTTAGCTAAAAGAAAAATTTTCGATATGATAGAAACTGAGAAATTCGGTAAACCAAATATTTACCATATTGATGAAAGCCTGATAGATGATCCACAAGAATGTGCCGATGATTATGAAAAGATTTTAATAAAAGGTTTCGCAGGTAGGGATTCTGTCAAATTACCCATGTTTGACTTATTCCTATTAGGTTGTGCTCCTGATGGGCATATTGCTTCTTTATTCCCAAACTTTCAAGAAAATTTACGTGAAAAATTAGCTTGGGTCGTGCCTGTCACTGGTGCTCCTTCAGGTCCAACTGAAAGAATCTCTCTAACAATCCCAGTCATCTGCCATTCTCACAGATTAGCCTTCGTTGTCGAAGGTGCTACAAAAGCCCCAGTATTGAAAACAATTATGGAAAGACCAGAAAAGGGTTTGCCAAGTAGTATCGTCAATGAAGGTGCTGCTGGCCGTGTATCATGGTTTGTTGATGACGATGCTTTATCAGATGTTTTTGTGACTAAGAAGACTTATAAATATCGTTCAAACCAGTCTAATGAATTGGGATTATAAGAATATTAAGTATCAAACCACCCTCCCCATTCTCCTCCTCCCTCAGAAAAAAAATTAATACTAAAATATAACATAATTTTGCATTTTAAAAGGAAAAATTGAATCATTTGGAATTTTTCTTATACTATTCATTACCTATCTCTATTATCTTTTGTTATTCCCTCTTCATTATTTTAATCATAAAGAAAAAACTATTAACTATAATTATCATCAATTTGGACAAGCTTATAATACTCCTGTTCCACATATAATTCATGAGAAAATACTTTAAAATCCTAAAGCCTCTTCCTATATATCAGTATATTTTTGTAAATATTAAATTACTTATTCTATGATGTTATTTTATTAGTTTGGATATATAAGTCTATGTCTATATATTCCTATAAAGAGTTATTAGTTCTCCGTTGTAATTGAAGTTCATTAAGGTTTTACTGAATCGATCAGTAGTGATTCTACATTTGGATGGGATGGTCGTAAAAGACATGTGTATATATGAATTTTAAAGTCAATTGATATCATTTTATCTTTCTGTATAAACTCCATTGGGATATGAAAATAAAATCGAATACTAATGTTACCAAGCCTAGTCCAATTTTACCAAAATTGGTTATGAATATGACAAATGTGAAACCATCTTCGTAATATAATTCTAATATTAACTGTAAAAGAGATGCAATCCCACCAACTGCATCTAATAAGACACCTTTGATCGAAAACCCTTTCATAGTTTTCCTTTCATAGTTATGTTTAACTTGTGGAATATATTTAATTAATGACATGAATAATTTTAAAGTGAATAATTTATTACAATACGATAAAATATCATTGTTGTTCCAACCATAGGTTTGAATATCGTAATAGAAATGTATTGTAATTAAAACAAATACAGTTAGTGAAGATATCAAAAATTTCTTATAACTTGGTTTCATTCTGGAATGTTTCTCAGAGTTAAATCTCCATAACTTTGGATAACGTACTTGGCTTAATAACACCAAATTTAATATCAATCCATGAGTAGTATAAATTAAATCGAAATCTGTCACTTTAGGTCTCGAGATGTCATCTTCAGTAATAGTATTTAATTCATAGTTTTTAACTGGAGACATCCAAGAATGCAATTGTAAATATAATGAAATAGTTAGATAAAAATATCCAACAGTATTTAAAATTACAAAATCTGATGAAATTGCACTAGATGATTTAAGTCTCCAATTGGTTACCACCGGTGTATACATCGATATCGACCATGATACTACATAAATAAAACCTAAAATTTCATCCAGTGATACAACCATCTTCCAGAGTGGTTTATCATATAATTATGATCCTTGATTGAATACAAATCTGACAAACAATGGAACAGATCCAATTTGAACAATTAAAGGTTGAAATAAAGTTTATCCATTTGAAATAGTATCGAACACGTATTAATGCTTATCTTAAAACCTTTATTTTTCATTTTTCCTTCATTTCGAATCGAATCATTGAAATCAAATGGTTGCCATGATGATGTCGAATGCAACAAGATCGAGATCATCGTTGATTTGATATTCTTTACAGGTGACTGGAAAATTATGTTTTACGTATTCACATATTGTGATATAACAGAATTGTTTAGAGTATCATTAGTTGAATCATTTGATTTGAACTATATAAAGTACATTACAGAAAAAGGTCAAGAATGACGTAGTAAATATACAAAACTATATATAATGAAGGGGAGCGGGTGAGAGAAGAAGACACGCCCAATCACACACACACATACATATACAATTATAATTTCTTGTTGTTAAATTAGTTTAATCAAATGCAGACTAAGGGGAAATAGTGTATATATTTTCTTAATTTGTTTTCATTTCATTTACTTTTCATTTAATAAACCATTTTTCTACCTGTGATAGTTCTTCTTGTATGTTGTTGGGTTTCAGATTCGTTATCTTCTTCTTCGTCATCTACTTTAGCTCTGTTCAAAACTTTAACAAATGTATCCACTCTGAATCTCATTCTTGAGTGCATGTAAGCTTTTGAACATTTGATGTGGTAATGGAAATAATTTCTGAATAAAGTTAATTGGGAAACTGATGAAAATTGTAATTCCTCCGTTTGGAAATGACGTGGGAAAAGAACAAATGTTATAAATCTTCTACTTGAGTCAGCTTGGACATTGCGTGTGGTTTTTTGATTTTGTAATTCTAATGGTGGTTCATGAGAGACCAGGACTTGTGGTGCAGATTGGATACTACGGTTTCTCTTTCTAGCATCAACAAATTCTTGTAAGAAAACTTTACCCAAAACTTTATCGGTTTCATCTTGGAAAACAGTTTCAAAGATAACTGTGATACGATCATTTGAAGCTTTGATGAAAAATTGTTCATCGTCTCTATGTTGAATAGCATATAAGGTTTTAGAATCAATTGAGGAACCATCTTCTGGTATAGGTAAAGTACAAAGCTGAGCGAATTCTTGGAAAGCTAAATGGAATGGGAAGCTTAAAACCATGGTTTTCAATAGAGAAACTTGAACTATTGAATCTTGATTCAAAGCATTTAAATCAATTTGTAAAGTGAAATCGTAACCAGGTTCTGTGTTATTAGAAACCGATACACCAGCAGCGTTAGCATACTTGGATTGTAAAAACGAGACCAAGCCATTGTTTGGGTCACATTGTAAAACACTTTGCCAAGCCTTTGTCCTAATACTGACCCATAAAATAACTTTGTTGTCAGGAGTATTAGTAATATGGAAAGTAGTATAATCAAAATCAGAGACAATACGATCCAATGTCAAAGGAGCACCTTTCTCATTGGCTTCGTAAGCCTCTGACAAAGTCTTTTGTATCAACAAGTTATGCGATCTTAAATGTAACATATTTTCGGACTATTAGGTTTATTATAATTGTAGAATATATATTTTTCTTATTCTCCTTTCTGTTATATCTTTCCTTATATATAACAAAATTATCCTGATAGATAGGCACTCCTCCAGAGAAATCAGACAATTCAGAACACACCAATTGCAACGGATATATTAACACTAAGCAATCTGAACAATTGTTAAGCACTGTAACAGATCAATTAACCCTGAAATACCACTTCAAATTTCAATAAAGGTGGTCCTTGTAAGTAACAATATTTTTCTTTTCAATGGTTTTATTCCATTTTTTTTCTTTACCCCTATCAGTTTCCAAAATTCAAAGCTAGCAGGCTAATGAAGAAAGTTTTGGTCACGTGCTATACCATGTGATTTTGTCTTTTTTGGGTTGTTGTCATGTGACTTCGTATGATGTACGTCACATGACTAATGAAGGGAAGAGAAAGAGGAAGAGACCGAGTAGTTGGAGGAGGGCAGGGGTGGGGAGAGTATAATTGATAAATATATATATTTAATTGTCAGAATTATGAGGTAACACGTGATCTAGACGTATTACGACATTATTCATATAGGATAAAGAAATGTTACTTTACACGAAAGTATTACTGACGCTGAAAACTTTTCCAACAATGTATATAAGAAATGATGAGATCTTAATTGACACTTATCATATGTACTATATTCCCAGGTGTATATTTTATACTTTAATACACTGGATCAATATCAACTTATTAAGAATGTCCTTGGAAATAAATAAAGAATCTATTATTATGAACGATTCGGTAGAAAATCTACAACATAATTCTCTACATCTATTTACATATAATCAATACATCTGGTATATTAGATTCAGGTTGAAGGTTGGCCCCGGTGGTAGCAGTGTTCTTATGCAGCTATATTATTTGCTTTTTGGCGCTGCGATATTGAATTGCTAATGCGGTTACGAAACTTTATCTTTAACTATGATGAATTAAGTATCATTATATACGTTGTTATAACTAGAGAATGAACCAGTCAAACCAGTCAAACCGGTAGATCGAAGTGACAGCAATTGTGGGGTTTATTTAAAGACCAGGTTCATTTTTTGAGTATCTGTATTGATTGAAATGATTATACAATGTCTATATCTATTGTTGCTTCTGCTGAGGGTAGGACTTGATTTATGCATTTGTCTATTGCCAGTCGTAGAGCCAGTTCTTCGTTATTGGAACCACCTTTTAAGGATATTTTCATTAATACGATATACGTTTGAAAGTTTACTTTTGATATTAATAGATTGTTGTAATCCAGGTGACATCTAGATTTAAATTCTGATAAACTCTCTATCCTTTCTTTCAGTAAAGACTTGATTATAGTTGGATTGTTTGATGTCGAGGATTTCTCTGAAATTTTCGATGATGACGATGATGACGTCACATTATTCGATATCGTTTGTGGCAAATCAGTCAATGAGACTTGTCTTTTAAACTTGGAATCGATCTCTCTCTTTGGTTGTTCCAGTTCGTCCATGTCCAATAGTGTCAAGGACGGTAATGACGTCGTAGAGAACCCCATTAATAAAATTGTTGAAGTCCATTCAACAATTGTTAATCCGTGTATAATAATTAATCCGGCAAATAAACATGCAGATACATAATCCGCTATATTTGCATATCGATTCACTAATAAGGGATAGAAAAATAAATATACCGTATAGGCAATTGTAACAATTGGATTTTTCGTCTTTAATTTAGAATTTGTATTAGCGTAATATATCTTGTATAATGCTAATGATGAAAATAATAAATTCAACAGTAGTGTCGAATACCAAAGTTTGAGACCATTTTCGCTGCCTAGTTGGATATTCGAACCATGTGAATGTGGAATGTGCGTTGCTAATTCGTCGTGATTGTCTGTGGAATTAGAAAATTCAACGAATAAAACTATCAGTTCCTCAATAATGTGGAATAACAAATCTAACCCTACAAAACATAAAGATATTGCTAATCCAAAACTTAATAATACGTCGATACGATTCAGTCCAAACGGGAATGTTATAGTACCAGTAGACCAGACTTCAAACTGTGATAGGTTTTCTGCAAAAAGAATTGCCAATGAACCTATAATATCATAGACTATGAAATGCGATAATGTAATGAAATTGCTCCACGATTTAGTATGACCCAATGCAAAAACTGTAATACACATGACTAACTCTGAAGCCATAATACCTAAATGATAGTATGCTTTTGGCCATGGTAAATTAGATAAAAAATCCCTAAAATCTGGTATTGGTAATGCCTTGGCTATATTTAATGGAACTTTAACTTCAGGTTCTTGAAAGAAATTCATCGAAACCGACGAATGTTTATATCTGTGACCTTTACGGAACGATGCTCTTGAGTTTGCATTTCCTGCAGAACCTTGTTGTGGCTTCAAAGAGGAAGAATTAAAATTGAAAGGTGATGTTTTCGAATCACTGCCAATTATCGATAGTCTTTTCTTTCGGTTTTCAGGAGACATTGATCTTAATGGTGATGTTGATCTCCTAGGTGATTTTGATCTTTTTGGTGACTTTGATCTTAATGGAGGAGGAGCCAATTGAATAGTCGGTACATACTTCAAAGATGCTCTACGGCCTTCTTGTATTACAGGAGAATTAACACCGGTATTGTTTGAAGACACTGAAGTGTCTGCCCCACCAGACCCACCAGACCCACCAAAACTAAAGGAAGGGTTATAGATTATACTTGAACTTGAATTATTGCCGTCTTGGGAAGAGTAAAAAGAAGAGTTTGGTCTTGAAAATGGGGAATTGATGAGTGGTTTTGATTGTTGGTTATTCAGATTATTACTTTTAGGACTGCTAGTAGTATTAAAAGGTGATTCTGGACCAGCATGATTACCTTGGAAAAATGAATCCATATCGACCTTTGGAGAGGTAGGAGAATCTTCCTCCTTTATCGAATTCATAACTGGAGTCGATACAGAAGAATGGAACCTTGAATCGGTGGGAGTCTCCATCGTTGCACTGTTTTAATCCTTGGTACTATATTTATATATATATATATATATATTTTTCTGTGTTGTTATTTTTAGCAGAATACTTTGGTAATTTAAAGAAAGCTTCTCTACTAAAACGCTATTCTCCTTCGATGTATAAGTGAAATCAAACTATGAAAGGGCTGAAAACCAAAGCAATAAATAGTATTAATTACTCAATACTAGCCCAACAAAAGATAAATATATGCAATATATTGTGCCCAATATACTCTATCAAATTAGCTATAAAGGAACTAAAACAAAGAGGGCAAAAGACAAAGAAATGTGTATATATATATAAAGAGTTCACACTAACGCTCCCAATATCGAATCAAAACAATAATAGCAATATCAGCACCACACCTACAACCCAATTCACAGCACTAATTCGATTACAACTACTAAACAGACTCCTCTTAAATAACAAATTGACATTTCAATTTGATTAGCTAATTATAGTTAGAATAACGATTTTTTCAATATCGAACAACAGGCTAATTCGTCATAATATCAATGACAAGACGATAGATCGATATTTCAAAAATATGATGATTTATAATATAATTGTTGTTTTAATGTTTGAATCAACTTATGGTGGATGGGAATCTAGCAATCATCAGGGAAATTATATTGTATTCGAGTGTATAATTGAAGATATGTTGTTGTTATCCAGTGTTAGAAGTGGCAGTAAATTACTATTGTTAAACAATTTTTATAGGTTCAAATCATCCTATGAATCAATAGTGAAAATTAACGAACTTAATGAGTTTAAGCAGAAGTTGATTGATAATAAGAATGGCTTGTCGGTGATTGATTTTTATGCAACATGGTGTGGGCCATGTAGAGCCATGGCACCACATTTATCTAAGTTTGTCAAAGAATATCCAAATGTCTCATTTTATAAAATTGACGTTGATGAAAACCCAGATATTGCACAACATTGTGAAGTCACTGCAATGCCAACATTTGTATTGGCTAAAAATGGTGAAATCATTGATAAATTAGTTGGAGCTGATCCAGTTGGTCTTGAGAAGACTATCAACGAGAATAAATAATCGTGATTCATATATCTGATTTTTCAAAGTTCTTTGTGGGGATGGAAATGGCTTCCCATCATCATCATCATCATCAGGATCATCAGACTGATCTCATCATTCTTTTGATTTCAATTTAAATATTCATTATATTGTATCTCATCATTCCTCTTTCTATAGTTATATTTACAATTACAAATAGTTAAATAGTCTGTGATATTTAGATTTATTTAATATTAATACTATTCGATTGATCGGTAGAGAGGGAGTTCCTGTTGTTGAAAAGGGATGGTGCTCTAGATTCAGGATATATATAAGTGATGGTAGCTATAGTATACAATAATGGTTTACTTAAGTGTTAGTGGTGATGAGGGAAAGGCTGGGTTGAGAAGGGTGTGGTACCCTAATCATAAAAGGATAGATATGATTATTCTCAAAGATAAGATAAGATAAAGTGAAGTAAAGTGAAGTAAAGTGAAGTAAAACAAAATAAAATAGAATAAAATAACATAACATAACTTAACATAAAATAAAATAAAATAAAATAAAATAAAATAAAATAAAATAAAATAAAATAAATCTTTTAATTTTGTTAAAACAATATAGTGAATGCATTTTGGTGGATATTAATTTAATATTTCAGTATAACTCAGTGACTGTTTTAATTTATATTTTATAATTACTCTTTTTTTAATTTAATTTAATTTAATTTAATTTAGTTTAGTTTAATTTAGTTTAATTTAATGTATCGATTTATCAAATTACACCTATATCCTGATTGGAGATTGATGGATTAGGCTTAGATCTCTTGCATCTCTGGATCTATCGATAGTATATATCCTCAACTTTGCTCCAAAAACCATTGATTAATTATAATTTTGACTTTAACTTTAACTTTAGGGGGAAGGGGAGGAGGGAGGGTGTTTCCAACCAAATAAAAATACATATATATATATAGAAGAGTTATTGGATTTGTTCCCTTCATGAACTGGCACCTTTGTTTTGTATAGATACAGATGGTAGTTGTGTTGGTTGGCCATAGTCCTTTTGGTCGCCGGCAGCTGCAGAGGCGGCAGCTGCTACAGTAGGTAATGAGTTTTCATGAGACGTTTGCATTGCGTTTAATTTTGGTAGATGTGTAGCATCACCTCTGATTGCACTGAATGTAGTTGAAGTAGGTTGTGGAGGAGGGGCGCCATATTGCGGTATTGTTTGTTGTTGTTGTTGTTGCTGTATCTGTGGAGGTTGTCCCTGTTGTTGTTGTTGTGATTTATTATCTTGTGGTTGATATGTGCTAATTGAAGAGATCTGGTGATCTCTTTGGGATATTTCTAGTTTCAGTCTATTGATTTCTTCTTCGTAGGATTCTTTAACTTTTCTATGTGTCAATTCCAATTCGTAGACTGTATTTCTCATTTGTTGTAATTCATTGACTTGATGATTTAGTTTTAGTTCGAAATCTTTTTGGTTTTGGATGGTCAAGGATTGCACTTCTTGTGATACGTTGTTGAATTCCAATTGGATTGCGCTTAACAATTCTTCTACTCTGCTCATTTGGGATCTCATAAGTGTGTGTGCAGGGGTGAATTGAATTGAATTGAATTGAATTGAGTATTGCGAGGTCAATTGTATAATTGTATGATAATTGAATTGGAGCCAGATAAGTTTTGTAATATAGTTGTGTAATAGTTGACCACAAAGCAGTAGGAAGTAAGATAGAGGATGGAGTGGATGTGTAGGTATCGGTGTACCAAGTGTGAAGTATAATGTGAAGTAGTTCAATTGGAGTGGATTGCAGGACGGAGTGGGATAGAAGCAATAAGGTATAGTATAGTATGGTATGGTATGGTATGGTATAGTATAACACAATTTAATATAATGTAAAGACAAAATTTTGAATAGAAAGGATTAAAGTTTAGAGAGAAGTGAAAGTGAAAACTGTTGATAGTAAGTAATGGTAATGGTAATGGTAATGATAGTGATAGTGATAGTGATAAGAGTGGCAGAGGGTACTTACCACTTCTAACGTGAAAAAGTAAAACGTAAAAACGTAAAAACGTAAAACTCACAAGACAGACAATTCTAAGTACGTGAGTAGAGTAGTGTTGCATAGTAAGGTAATGCAATGTATGATGTAGTATAGTATAGTATAGTATTGTATAGTATTGTATAGTATTGTATAGTATCGTACGGTAGATGGAATGAAGTGAAGTGAAGTGAAGTGAAATTCAAACACACAACACACGGCGCAGTGGGGGTAACGTGTAATGTTTTCAATTCATTCATTCATTTGTCTCTCTCTGCACCCTTTTCTGGTTGTGGTTCTTCACTCACAAAGAGCCAAGCGACGTCATCTCGTACGTAACCAGCACACCACACACCACACACCACGCCCAATGCACACACAGAGAGACAGCGCGCATGTTTTGAGGGGGAGGGGAAGGGGAAGGGGCAGCACGCTCATCGCAACGCAGCGCAGCGCAACGTATAACACCAGTGAACCGAACCGAACCGAACCGAATTGGGAGATTCCACTACCAGACAGACAGACAGACAGACAACACATGCAAGCATACATGTATTGTCTGTTTTGTATTCTGATATGTGTACTGTTTGTGTCGTCAAAACGTCTCTGTCTCTGTTGGTACAATCTGACATCCGCTAGTTCCAGACACTGATAAACACCACTTGTATGGATACAAAACTATCCAACTATACGTTTGGCATCCTCGCTTCCTACAACAGGGCTGCTTATCTAACTACACCTCTTTGGTATAACGTCGAACTATTCTATAATACCAAGCCAAATCTAATCAAAGGTAATCAAAGGTAATCAAATCTGTCCACACACCCTGATGTCCCTCCCACCGTTGTTTAACCGCCACCTCTCAAAACAACTGTCTGTTGTCTTCCGTGTTATGTGACTGTGTGTTCACGTGCTCCTGTCATGGTTCCGGGTAAGCACCCTCCCGTTCTCTCCATCTCTTGTCCGTCTCACCTTGGTCTTGTTCTTGTTCTTGTTCTTTTTCCATTCCGGGGTCCGCTTCACTCCCTCCAACGGAACAGAATAGGGTTGCAAAAATTATTCAATTTTGAATTTTATTCAACGTTTCAAGTTCCTTTCCTCATTAATCCCATTCGAACCACTCAACTCAACTCAACTCGTTTCATTTCACTTCGATTAATTGATTCATCGAATGTACCAGAAATGTACGAATAATTCAAAATCGTATCTCTCCGAAATTAAAACAATTTGTTATTACAATTGAGTTCTCTTGTCTTCTCTCTCTCTCATATATATATATATATATATATATATATTTCTGCTCACTCTATTCATATCCTCAACCACCCTATCCTAGAAACAGACTTAATCATAACAAAATTGTCACATATATCCTTTGATCATGGCTTTAGAACCAATTGACTATACTACTCACTCAAGAAGCATCGAAGATGCTTACCAGAAAATCGTAAGAGGCTCAGATCCTGACACTACCTGGTTGATCTTATCCCCAAATGCAAACAAGGAATACGACGCAGACTTGCTAGGTAACGGTTTCACCGATTTCTTACAATCCTTTGACGATACAAAAGTTCAATTCGGTTTAGCAAGAGTCTCTCCTCCTGGTTCCGACGTCGAAAAAAATATATTGATCGGTTGGTGTCCAGACTCTGCTCCAATGAAAACAAGAGCTTCTTTCGCTGCTAACTTCGGTGACGTAGCAAATAACGTATTAAAAGGTTACCATGTCCAAGTCACTGCTAGAGATGAAGACGATTTAAACGAAAAGGATCTCTTAATGAAAATTAGTAACGCCGCAGGTGCTCGTTACTCAATTCAATCCACTTCTTCTTCTTCTTCCTCCGCTCCTGCTGCTTCTTCAAAACCAAAAGCAATCTTCACTAAGAAAGCTCCTGTTCAGACTCAATCTCAACCTGAAAAATTAGATAAACCATCCATCCAAACTCTACCTCCAAAAAAATTTGTTAAAGCTGAAGAACCTGAAGATGACTGGGACGAACCGGAAGTTGAAGAACGTGATTTAACTGAAAATCCTTTGAAACCTAACCAATCCAGTTGGAAGCCAGTAGGCAAAGTTGATTTACAAAAGGTCATAGCTGAAGAAAAGGCCAAGGAAGATCCTCGTTTGGTCCACAATTCATCTGTCGTTGGTACTAAACCACCAGTTAACTCCGGCTTTATGAAAAAGGATGATGATGATAAAGTTATAAAAGGTTTCAGAACTGAAAAATCCCCTGCTCAAATATGGGCAGAAAAAAAGGCTGCTCAAAATAAATCATCTACCTCTCCATCTTCATCTTTCGATAGACAGAAACAGCAACAAAAGGAAGAAGAACCTATTGATGACGATGAACAAGAAATGGGCGTTAATGATTTAAAATCAAGATTTGAGAAGTTCTCTGCAAGCTCCGAACCACCAGTGATCAAGCCAATGAGCATATCGAAGCCTCAGCCAGAAGCAACACAACCTGTCAAAATGGACCCAAGAAAGTTTGGCACTCCGTTACCTGGAATGCACAATGAGGACGAAGATGAAGAAAAAGAAGATGAAAACGACGAGTGGGATGAAGACGAAACTGAATCTAACCCAACCCTACCTTCTAGAAACACAATTGAAGTTGAAACCGAACAAGCCGCTGAAGAAGAGGAAGAAGTCCCAGTCAGAGTTGACGAGGAAATGGAAGAAGAGGAAGATGAGGAAGTTGCCCCTCCAAGTTTGCCATCTAGAGGTGGTGCTGCTGGCCCTCCTCCACCAGCTCTTCCTTCAAGAAACACTGAACCTGAACCTGAAGAAGAAGAAGAAGAAGAAGAAGAACTGGCACCAGTCTTACCTTCAAGAGGTGAACCAGCACCAGCATCAGCATCAGCTGGATCAGTTCCACCACCACCACCAAGAAAACCAGCTCAATCTGGCGGTCCATCAGCAGTTGCTGAATACGACTACGATGCTGCAGAAGATAACGAATTGACATTTGTTGAAGGCGATAAGATCGTTAACATTGAATTTGTCGACGACGACTGGTGGTTGGGTGAACTGGAAAAAACTGGCGAAAAGGGTCTGTTCCCAAGCAATTACGTTTCTTTAGAAGACTAACAAGAACATAAAAACCAGCCCAACTAAAATAAAGAACAAATAAAATAAAATAAAATGACACGATCACGTTAAACGCCCAATCCAGTAAACGAACCAAAATCTTTGACACTATTTCAATATTATTGTTTATAAGTATATATATTATATGTATATATGTATGTATGTATGTATGTATGTATGTATGTGCATATAAGTTATCCCCCAATACTAAAATCAAAATTATTCTATACTGATATAACTGGAATGCACCAGCGACAGAGACATCAAGAACCAATACAATATAAAAGTGAAAATTAGTACACAAGGGGAGGGTGGGGGAGATAGAAGATATATTCTACCATTTCCTTTCCAATGCGGATAAATATCTCTGCTATAATTACATCTCATGCCCTCGCACGTGACCTTATTCTGAATCAGGCAAAAAACAGCCAAACAGAAGGGGAAAAATAAAAAGAAAGGCCGAAAAAAAAACTAATCAGTACTAAAACACACGCACAGATGAAAGCCAGCATCAACCCGTGCGGCAGTTCTTCCGCCTCCTTTTCTGGGTGGTCCTTTTTGCTCTGCCCCTGTTTCTCTCTCCTTCCCCCGCTCGTTTATAATTATATTCCCGATGGGTTTTCGAAAAGTTTAATTTTAAACATGAAGTTGGATATAAATATCAATATAAATACCAATCGAAATCGAATTCGAAATCGAAATCGAAACAGTTGTAGTTTTTTGGTTAATAGATAAAATCAATTACTCTTTGAAGGATCTGAATTGTGTGTAACTTATTGGCAAGGCTGAGCAGAACTGGACTG